AAGAAGAGAGTCCTCAGCCCTCCTCCTCTGCCTCCAAATCAAGGCCTGACCTTCAAACCAAAAATGTCTCGCCGCTCAAAGCTCAGCTGCCAGTGCCCACACACATTACCCAGTCACCCTTCGCTACAGCGAAGAAGACCACGAAGTGTCTGCAGGCAGAGAATCAGAAGTTGTTCAATGAGGTGAGTTTATATGATGTTCCAAAGTTCATGACCAGAACTTAAAATAATGACATTTATGCAGAAGTATTTCATGTGTATCAGACTTCAGATTGCTCTAAGTGCTCAGTTTTTCTGTCTGGGTGACACTGACTTAAAATCTTATCTGTGTGTTTTTAGGCTAATTGTTGAAACATGATATATTTAAATGTTGACTTTTAAATCAAATTAACAAGTGAGATGATCCATGTTTCCCAAATAATACTGTGGGAAACTCAATGGTGTCATCAGTTAGTTCCTCATTGAGCAGATCAACTCCACTCTTCTAGACTGCAGCTGGTGGTCTTTACCACACTGGGGGCCTGACCAGCCTGCCTGCAGGGGAAACACAGGAAAGTCCACAGTTCGCTGGTCAGCAGTGACTCAGCTTTCAGAATAAGAGGGGATTGTATGGTGGTTAACCTGTTATATGTTGTCTCATAGTGATTCAGTAAATGCAAATTCCTGAGTACAGTCTAGTTTTGCAGAACATCGTTCCATGGAGTTTATCCCAGCATGAGGCGAAGTACATCCTACAGCTCTCCTCCACTGGGTGCAAAACAATTTTATTAAAACAGTCATTTAAAAAAAACACGTTTAGTATTTGAAAGTTGGTAAGACCATTTTTGTATATTTCATTTTGATATATAAAAAACAACAACTATAATAAAATAACAATAAAATAATGAAGAAGAAAAAACTATAATAAAAATAACATTCGATTATTATTATTATTATTTTTAATTTGGCTTGTATGACATCATTAATAGTGACGGTTTTTTGTGTTTGTTAAAGAAATGAACTGATGGGTGGGTGAGTTTGATTTAGTTGGAGAGTGTACTGTGAGAGGATATAAACACTGGCATTAAATATGTATGTAATATTAAACTTTAGATCTAAACTTCCTCATTTAAATTACCTACTTATTTGAAAATATACAGATACACCCTATAAAGTCAATCCTGGGCCACTTTATACTGCAGATGTGTGTTTGAGTCAAACCAGTCTTGCAACATCTGTCTTTTTCACTCCCTTGTTTTTCTCTTTGGTTCCTTATCCGTCATACTGTCTACTTTATCTCATCCTTTTTTTCCTGTTTTCTTCCCTCCAGTTTGTGGAGCACTGCAGGCCCCTCACAGAGGACTGCCCAGAGGTCTTGACCTTCCTCCAGACAAAGCACTCCAAGGCCTGCCCGGACTTCCTGTCATCAGTGGAGTTGAGGAACACTTTGGGACGATGTTTGACTCGCGCTCAGGCCAACCGCTCTAAAACATTTGTCTACATCAATGAACTGTGTACTGTGCTCAAGCAGCATGCCATCAAGAAGAGGCAAACCCTCTTCAAGGTTGACCCTGGGCCTTCTACCTCAACGTCGAGTGAT